GTTATAACTATCCACAGTGCCTCAGCTTCCCAAGTACTCAGATGACAGGAAACAGGTGGGTATTATTATTACTCTTGGCTTCTTAACTAACCTATGTGTAATATACTTCACACTTCTATCAGAATACTGGTTTTATGGGGTGTGTGGGTGTGTGTTACATGGACATGCACGCCTGTGGCTCTCACACAGAAGCCAGAGCAGCATCTCAGGTGTTGCCCTCCCTCATTCTCTACCGTATTGCCTTACACAGGTCATCTCTCTGAACAGGAATTCACTATTCTGCTAGCTGTGCTAGTCTGTGACTTCTCAGAGATCCACTTATCTCTGACATCACGCTCCCATCCTGTGCTGGGTTTGGGACTGCAAGGTCATGCCCAGCTTTTGTGTGGATCTGTGGATTTAAACTCAGGTCCCCGAGCTTGCCAGTCAGGGACTCTAGCCCACACAGCCATCTTCCCAGCCTCTAGCATACTGTTACTGCCTTCCTGTACTGTTCTAGCTGTTTTCACATGCTACTTTATTTGGGGAAGCATGGTTTTTGTCACTTCCAAGCCTGGATGACCCCTCCGTTGATTTATATTTGCCTGTCAAAAGTCTTTGTGTCATTGACTTCATATCCCCAATGCCTTGCATGGCTTCTGTTTAAGAGATGCTCAATAAATGTTCAATCTGTAGTGACATCAGAGTTCCTCTTCCTCTCTCATTCCCTTTATACCACAGTCCTCCGACAATTGTCTATTCATTATATCTTCAGTCTTCAATCTTTTTTTTTTACCATACTTTATATTAATTCCTAACCTGAAAAATCTTCATTGTATAAAGAGTGCTTTCCAAACTTCCAGAAATCACTCTTAGAAGCTTGTTCCTTTAGGAGAGCTATACTGTCTGTTCCAAAGTCTCTAAAATTATAGGTCTGAATTGAAACCTAGAAACAACATTTTAGCAGCTTCATAGGAGGCATTGATGTTGCTCTCTCAAAGAACACTCTTTAAAAACCACCGAAACTGGCTCTCAGAAAGTGGTGAGCTTTAGGCCTAATCATTAACCCCCACCCCAAGCCCCCACGCCAAACTGCCTATAGAGTGAGAATTTTAGGCTGGTTTTGCAAGCAGGTGGGGCAAGCAGGTTGAGGAAGGAGGTGCTTTTGTTTTAAGGGTTCCATTGGTGATCATGGCTAATGCCGTTTGCTCAATGATTAAATCCAGGATCTGGAATAAGCATCCTTCTCAAATGTTCGTCTCCCTACCTTCAACATTCTATCCTGTTTTCGGGGGTGGGGGGTACTAGCAATCTAGTGATCTTCTAGACCTTTGCTCCCTCTCTGCTGGTTCCACATCAGCTTCAGTTACTTATTCATTTGAGCACCCGGCACGTGCCAGGCAGCATTCCAGACACAGGGAAAGGTGCACCGAATGCAGAGACACTGCCGTGCCTCTCACACACCATCTCGCCCGTCCTGAGAACCCCATTTCCCTGCCTACTACACAGCTAAGGGCTGACCTAGTGCTGCACTGAAGTGTAGAGCTCAGCTCTGACTTTGTCTGTGTTCAGCAAGCACTTCTCAGATTCCACCGAGGGAGTCTCTCACCCAGGACCTTCTGTTGTCTTCCCTGGCCTGCTCCAGTTCTCCTGGACACAGCCTAAACTGAGTTCCGCTGTCCCGAAGCCCGGCTCTCACCCTCCCAGCTCTCTAACCCGATAGTTACAATACTTCATATCATTTTGGTTATAGGTCTGCCTGTTGGTAAAACTAAACTGTGTGTTTCTAAGTGTAAAGGTCATCCCACTTTCTCAGCCAACCTCCACTTCACGCAGAGCTTGACTACAGAAAGCGCTTTAAAATGTTGGTCAGATTAATGAGTGAATTTGAGTTTTCTGAGGGTTTTAGTCCACCTTTTAGACACAGAGTCTTACTACTCATGGTTCCAGTAAGCCAACTCTTTTCACTACTCTTGAGTCTTTGGCTCTAGTGAACTTCCTGTCTCAGCATCCTCAAGTAGCGGAACTCACAGGCATGCACCATAACACACAACATTTTGCAGGATTTTGCCAAAAGGATTTTATCCTTGTGGAGTAAAATCTCCTTAGGACTACTGTAGTTTTCCACCGTAAGTTTTATACAGTATGAAATGTGTACAATGTGGGGTTTATGTTTAAAAGCCTGTCATGGGTATGGTTCAAACCTCAGAGAGGAGTTAGTATGACTTTCGGATTACCTGTGTTTGTTCTGTGTTGCTGCTGTCTGTGGTGATAGTTTTCAAGACAGGATCTTGCTGTTCGAATGCCCTCAAACACAGTCTACCTGTCCCCATCTCCTGCTGAGATGACAGGTGTGCAGCCACGTCCTCACGGCCCACGCTTCAGACCTGTGCATTTTAGCTCCATCCTAAACAGTCTGTCCTGGGCTAGTGAATCATTCAGCTGCTGGGTGTTTTGATTCCCTAACTTATCTGTTAAACAAAAAGCATGACTAATAAACTAAGTTTTCTCAGCAGGTACAGAGCTACTTAATACATTAGATCACATCTCTAAATTTTATTTGAAAAGTGAAGTCAGATGACCTTTTTATAGAAAGAAACACCTGAAAAAAAGAGATGGCTACAGTTTATGAAGCATACTGAATGCAAGTGGTCTCGATAACCTATGCACGGAGTGTCAAACCATGCACATAGTAGGCCCTCAGTGAAGACTTAACTTGCTGAAAGAAAAAAAATGAAGACTGTTCTCACTGAAGTAAAAAAAAGTAATGGTGCCACCCAGGAGCCCTGGTTCCATGATAGGATATGTAAGTCCACAATGTGCACGCGTCTCCCACAGGTGAGCACATACTATCACCAGAACATGATTGTTTGCACTCAGGAAAATCCTCCCACCACACCCTCCTAGGACTTCGAACCACAAAATTGATAGCTGGGTATAAACTTTCATCAACCTCCCCAATAAACATCTTCTCACCAAGCTGGAGAGGTTATAAATCCATTTCAAAAGGAATATTTTTGTTACATAAAGCTTTTAGAAATTTAAGAACACCTTTCATTGTAGCAGTTGTGTTTTCTCTGAAGTATTCTTGTACTTACTCTATTAGTATATTAGTACATACAATCTGAGCACACATGTAAGCACGGGGAGAAAATGAAAGTATGTAAATTGGATTACTGACTTAATTTCTCTTCAGTCTATTCGATGTGTGTACACAGACTCTGGAAAGCCCACACTATTCCCATTTGCTTATCAGGAACAATTCCCATTCTATGGAACAAAAGGAATGGTTGATGACATTTATTTATTATTGGAGTAAATAAATTTACAAGGCTGTGTTTTCAAGGCTTCAGAATTACAGATGTGACTGTGGGAGCAGAGTCTTGGGGGCAAGACAGCTCAGATAACCTCACCCACAGGGATTTCTCAAACAGTACTTTTCTGTGTGTAAACAGGGACCATAAGGCAGTGGAGGTTTCTGTCCCTGCTATTAAATACTGGCTTTCCTTCAGTGTACTCTTAAATTTCTGCACAATGCACAGTCTTCAGCACTCTGAGGAGCATAGACAAAGGGTATCAGGAAAGTTCACCTACTCCCACATCACAGAACAATGCTTGTTGCTAACTAAGCAATTCCCAGAGCAGATTTATGACGTGCAGGTCCCAGAGTGAATATTCAGGTTGGTTCCTCGGAATCCGAGGTCAGAAGCACTTGATGCTGTTCAGTTCCAAGGCTTTTAAAAAACACGGAACTGTGACCTCAAGTCTGCGCTTGTATGCACACTAAAGGCTACTTAGGCATTTTGAGAACTAAAGCACATTAAGGCCAAAACAGCTTCGTGCACTAAGATTTAACCTTTTCCCTCTCGCTTGCTGCTGTTTTTTCCCCTCTGGTGAATAGAAAAATGACTACAAAATCAAGTAATGCAAGTCAACTAGAGAACAGGTCTCAAATGTAGAAAACAACCTATTAGGAATGTGATTATTTGTTCTCATTTCTAAGCAAAATTATGACTGATGTTTTTCTTATATTCTTACATCCGGAGGTTTGTTTTTTTTTTTTTTAATAACAGGACAAATGTCTAATCTATGCACTAATTCGATCACTGTACGTAACAACATTGTACGAGAGTTTTAAGTCTGTTACAAATCTAAGTACTTCAAAAGAAAAATGCAAGCCAGGTGTAATGGTGCACATCTTTAGTTCCGGAACTTGGGAGGCAGAGAGTGAATGTGCCCAAGTTCAAGAAAAGGCTTCATTCCTGCTGTCTTTCAGCGAATATTCTGGACTGAGTTATTCCACAGGTTATACCATATTATAAACGTACAATGCAACCTTGGAGAGCAGCTTCTATCTCGTGTTGCCCAAGTAAAAAAGGGGAAAATATGACTGCTTATTAAATCTAAGAAATAATTTAACGTCATCTCTGCTTTTGGTCTTTAGTCATCATCTATTAAATATTAGAACTGAGTTAGAAAACAGAGAAATATGTAAGCACACACTGTTTGTGTAGCTTTACGGACACTCATAAACATTTACATACGTGACAATTATTGAGGACTGTGGGCAGTGGGACCTAAGTGGAAGCATATACCTCAGGCTGAATAAAATTGCTCATGGATCACTGCTGCTGTTGCCTCCTTTCACACACTATAAACATCTCAGGTGTTAGTCTTCCAGGCATAGTAGCAATTCACCTCAGTACTCAGGATGTAGAGGCAGGGGAATCGGGAGTTCAAGGTCAGCCCCCGCTACACACTGAGCTCAGGGCCATCCTAAATTACATGAGGCCCTGTCACAAATATTAAATAAAAAGCCAAGTGTCTTTACAGACAGAAAAAGTTCCAAAGTTTAGACCTAGATGGTAGAGGCTGATAAAACCCCTACCATCTAAAACTGGACTCCAGCACTTGACTGAGCTTTTTCTTGTCTGTCATCTGGGGAGGAAATGCCTGCCTAACACCCAACAGAGGAAAAATTAGCTGAGTGAGAATAAGCAATGAAAAGAATAGGCCCCTACCCATTGCTTCCCACCGAAGGCACTTTAGACATGTCGGCAAACTCCTCTTTCCTCTTGCTGCCACTGGTGTACTGCTCGCTGTACAGCTTGAGGGACATCTGCTCCACGGCGTCTCTTTGTGCCTCCAGGTAGCAGAGCTGAACCTCCGCCTGGAGAGAGAAGCAAAAAAGAACCACTCTTTTAATCCAGAAGGAAGGCGCCGCAAGTGCGGTGCATCAATCTGAAGAAAGGAACCGCTCATGTCATTACCTGTAAGTGCAGCGCCGGATTTGGTGGGATCAGTTCAGCATATTACAGAACCACATTATTGATATGAATCTTAGACGTTCTTTCTTAAAATAAGACCTGAATAAATGAACTCTCAGAAGACTCAGTAAATACCACAAAGTATCCCTGTGGTCATAACGTAGCAGGATAAAACTTTACATAAAAATTCTGTGAAATTCCTTAATAATCTTCTTCCTCATGTTGTCACATACGTAGCTTTTAAAAGAAGTCTCCATTCAATTCGTACACTGGGATATTTCATGTATGCATATTTATTTCTTTTTCTGAATGCTTTTTTATTATCTTCACTGGGGAGAAGTAAACTGCCTACTATTAATTCTACCTCATATTTAATAATAAAAATATACTTCATTTATTGCATTTTTTACTCTTTGTACCATTGTCTTAATAATTTTAAATCATGGATATAGTGACTTTTTTACACGTAGACTTGAATTGTTAAATTTCATGAACACTTGGGGGATTACTGCAAAGGAAAGTTAGTAATTTCACTAAATAAAAGTAACTAATTTCACTAAAAAATAATTAATTACAACTCATTCTCATTCTTTTCTTCTTTCTTTTAAATTGTTAATTTTTTTTTTGTCAATCAGAGGCTAAAGAATGCAGAACTATTGGAAATGCATTAGAGAGATGCTTTCTTCATTGCAGCTGTCACAATCCCTGTGGCTCTGGGTTCCCTAGAACACCAGCTGAGAGTGAGAAGGAAGGCTCCTGAAGGGTATGCTTCCCTATGCTTGAGGGGAGGCAGCAATGCTGACTTCTCATGCACTGTGGACCACGGGACTCTTGTTTCCCTTTCAGTATGCTTCACAAAATCAAACACAGCCATTAACATTTCCAATCACTCTTAAGCTATTTCAAAATTTCACTGTGTGTTTTCACCAGAACTCTGTAATATGTAAGAGATTAGGCCAGACACAGCCTTCTGGTCTTAGCTTCCAGAACTAAGTCCTTTTACCTGCTCTCTTGTTTTTAAGACTCAGCTATGGAGAAAAGAGGAGTCTCACAAGGTGGTGATTAACTAAAGATCCTGAACCATTAGAAACCCTATGCTGTTGCTTTTAACAATCAGAGAGTTATGAATGCTCTAAATGTCCATATAGAATTTAAGGAGATACTATTTAAATTAATAGTTATGTATTAAAGTTTTAGAAAGTTCAAAACCAGTTTTTGTTCATCGATCTAGATTTTTTCGTGCTCAAACCAACTGACTCGAATAAGAAGAGATTCAATTAGATTAATAATTATATACATATATATACATCATATATGTATATATGTATAATATACATGATATACGTATATAATACATTTATACATCATATATGCATATATACACATCATATATATATATTCTTAAATATAACCTGCTCAGTCTGTATAATATTACATGGATACATGCTTTCAGGGATGACCATTGGTACTAGATAACCATTTGGTGTGCTCTTCCCTGGAGAAGACTATTTCTCCTGCTCTCAGTATTCCTTAGTTGCCTGTAATTCTCGGGTATCATTGTGGTCTCCAGGGCTTTCCCCACCCACTTTGGCATATCTAGTGTTGTCCTTATTCAGCTCATGAATAAGCAGCCCTGTTGGTGAGACTTTACAGTTGTTTAACTTATGGGAAGGTTTGTAAGAAAAGATGGGAATGGAGAAACATTTTAACTGTGGATACTTTAAAACTTCCCTATATTTTACACATGAAAACTTAGCCTGATAAATATTAAAACTAGTTTAAAATAGGATTTGGAACTTTTTTTATTAAATGGAAATAATGAGACTTTAGTGGTATGTGCCTCTTCATTTCCAGGCTGCAGAGATGTGGAACAGATAGAAAAAATGAACTGGGCCAGAGGTACTGGTGAAACAATCAGAGGCAGATCTTCAATCCTGTAGGGATACTGGGATTTAGACACTAACTTAGATGTAATAGTTGAAATTAGAATGAAAAATAAAATACTCTGGCACGGGCAACAGGATGAGAAGAGGAAAATGACCACTCCTCCCTCCAGTCTGGGTGCTGGCATCACTTGGCAGACCCAGTGCAGCAAATCCTGTCGGTCCTCCTCTTTTCTTCTCAATATCTCTCACTCCTGTGTATATTGCTGGTCTTGTTGTGTCACAGCTGAGATCACTGGCGTGTCAGAGGTTGGCCTAGACTCTCTTCTTCCTAGCTTTTAAAACCACTTTAAGTGTCATTTATGTAGAAAGGCCTTCAGCCACCCTGATCTGAGCTTTGCACCAGTCACCTGACTTAGACTATTTTAGGTCCCATTGTTTAAGAAGTACTTCTACATTCTTTGACTCTCCAAATATTCCAGTTCTTCCCATACTTCTTCCTTCCTTGTTAAACAAACAGCCAGAAGCTAAAAGCTCATCTTCACTCTTGTCTTCCTTTCCCATGAGTTAATCCTTAAGGTCTGAATTCATCCTCCATAGTGTATCTCCAGTCTTGCCCAGCTGGCATTGCTACAGCCTCATTCAAGCCTTCACTGCTTCTTACTTGCATTACAACAATGATTATTTAGTGTGTGTCTCCTGTCTGTCACGTCTATCTTTCTGATTATTTTCACTTACATTGGCAAACCTGGTCATTATAAAATATTAACTGGCTCACTCCTGCATTCAAACACATGAAACAAGCTTCTCTCATAGGCTAATCAATTTCTTGCCTAGGCTAGACCTCTGATAGTATCCCCCTCAATTGCTATATTCTGGCCTTCTTTAATTATCTTTGCCTTCTTTAATTAATTATTTCTTGTCTTGTGCATTTTCCCCACATATTATTCCATTTCTCTGGAACATTCCTTTGATAATGTTTTATCTTTCGGCTTACACCTGACGTGATACTTCTGAGAGAGCTCTTTCTTAATGGCACTGTTGAAACAGAGCCACTGTGTTTCCTTTATTTTGGGGCCAGTTTACTATCGTACACAACACATGCAAATGTAAAATTCTTATGTTTTATATTTGATATAGTTTCAGATTGCTTTTGAATTACAAATACTAGAAGTAGCTGTGTCTCTATCCTTGATATTTTGCATTCTGAGCACCTTGCCAGTGTCTGGACCAAGACAAGCATTAGACAAGTAATTATTGAATAAATGCATTGTCCCTCCATCCATTTATCACTCGTACATTTGCTGAGACTTATGTCTGAGGAACTACCAGCTGCTGTGGGTATAAGGAAGATAAAGCATATTTTCTTCCTGTAAGGGAGTACAGCATAGCTGGTAAAGGCCTGTGCCAAGTGACACTGTTATCGAAATAAAACAACCACTTGAAAGCAGGGACTAGGCAGCAAGGCTTAACAGAGTGGTACCTGAATCAGAACTGAGGTGATAAGTACGACTTTGGTAGGTGAAGCTATCTCTAGAGGCAAAGTAATTGATTTGTTTAAGAGCCCAAAGTCATGAAAGGACATAGTACACTCAGAGGACGGTGACTGGGTTTTAGGGCACTGAATGAAGAGGTTAAAGTAAAGGGTGCACACTGGAAGAGGCAGGTTAGGAAATTCGAACACTATTCTGAGCAACAAAGAGCCAACAAAGCTATATGTGATGGCCATGATTTTCTGATATCTCTCTTTCCACCAGGATGAGACTGTTACCTTATGGAGAGCCTGAATGTGCTTGTATAGATCTGGTACTTAGTATACTTTGAGAGGAGCTTAGTGTGATGGCTGTTCTTGGCTGTCAACTTGACCTAAAATAAAACCCCAAATACACGACACACCTGTGAGGGATTTTTTGCTTAATTTGAATAGTAAGATCAATTTCTAATCCAGATCTTGAGGTGAGAAGGCATGAGTCTTTAATCTGGGCCTTGAGATGGGAAGCCACACCTCTAATCTGGACCACACTTTCTGCAGGAAGCCTATATAAGGACATGGAATAAGAAGCTTTTTCTCTTTGCCTGCTTGCCCGCACCTTGCTACTAATCCATTCCTTCACTGGCATTAGAGCCTGCTTCTTTAGGATTCCAGCATATACTTAAGACTAGCAGAGACATCCAGCCTTGAGAACTGAGTAAGTACTGGAATTTTAGACTTTTTGGTCAAAACCAGCCATCGTTAGATTAGCTGGATTATAAGTCATTCTAATAAATCCCCTTTCTATATATGTAGAGAGATTCATTCTATAAATTCTATTAATTGAGAAAACCCTAACATACTTAGTGCGAAGGGAATCAGCAGCTCTCACTGTTTTGGAAGCCTAGCATCTCAGACCATGGAACCTATGAGATTCTAATAACTAATACCTCTAGTAAACCATATCATGTTATGAACTTAATTGTGTCCTCCCACACTCATCTCATAGCTCAGGATTTTTTGGTGTGCTAAGCTTCTTGAGAATGCTAAAATTAATTAATCTTGGCAACTCTCTTAGAAAAGCCCATAACCATGCTTTCTGGTGTGTCTTACTTCTGAAAACCTCTCTCTTAACCTGCATCTTTAAATATATATTAAAATAATTTTATTAAACAAACTCTGCTTCATACTGACTAGTCTTGAAATTCTTTTCTGCATCAAAGCCAGGAATCTAATTAGTTCTGAGTCATTGTTCCCTAAAAATTTTCTTTTGAGACAAAGTCTCACAATATAGCCATGGCTGACCGGCCCCAAACGTGTGGAGATCTTCCGCTTCCTCTTCAGTGCTGGGATTAAAGGTGTGCACCATCATGTCTGATAAGGTCCCTAAGAGTTTGGAACTGTTTAGATTGCTGAGAGAGATGCCAGGGAACTATGCCTCTGTCCACTCCTTCACTGCTAACTTCTTTGGGGCTTGTCTAGGATTCCTCTGAAGTATTGTTGAAGATCCACTATTACAAAGACAGTTTTTAAATGCCTGTTCTAATAG